GTGATTTTTCCTAACAATACTTGGCATTTTGAGAGCAGGAACAGATAAAACAAATGATTGGGTTCATTTAGGAATGGAAATTGGGATGTCAAAAGGATGGAGGGAAATGAGAATGCCTGGAGAGTTAGAAATAGGGAGGCTAAGAATGGGGCACAGGACTTCAGGCCTTGATGATTAGAACACACTAAATGAGAAAGGAGTTAGAGAGATCAAAGGAGAGGCAATTTTGGTCAAAGTGAGATTTCCAAATTTAAGATTTGGAATCAGGAGGAGGAGGGGCAATCACTAACTAGATAATAGACAAGTGTCAACTTCGATGAAGGGAAGGACAACACACAATATAGTGGAAGTCAGCACAACTGGACCAAAGCAGAAGCACAGAGATTTCCTAAACACATCCATACAGTTTGAGGGACCTACTAGCTGTGGCTGGGGCCTGGAGACCACAGTCTCAAGGGACATCTAGGTTAACTGGCATAACAAAGTTTATAAAGAAAATGTTCTACATCCCACTTTGGTGAGTGGCATCTGGGGTCTTAAAAGCCTGTGAGCGGCCATCTAAGATACGTCTATTAGTCCCATCCCACCCGGAACAAAGGAAAACGAAGAAAACCAAACACACAAGGAAAATCTTAGCCCAAAGGACTAAAGGACCACATCAACCAGAGACTCTACCAGCCTGAGACCAGAAGAACTAGATGGCGCCCAGCTACCACGAACGACTGCCCAGACAGGGATCACAACAGAGAGTCCCGGACAGAGTAGGAGAAGAATGTAGAACAGAATTCAAACTCATGTAAAAAGACCAGACTTACTGGTCTGACAGAGACTGGAGGAACCCCTCAAAACTATGGCCCCTGGATGCTCTGCTAACCCAGAAATGAACCATTCCCAAAGCCCACTTTTCAGACAAAGATTAGACAAGCCTATAAAACAAAAAGCGACACACATGAAGAACAGGCTTCTTAGTTCAATCAAATATAGGAGACCAAATGGACAACTCCTGTTGAAAAGCCGGATGAGAAGACAGGAAGGGACAGGAACTGGATGAACGGACACAGGGAGCCTGGGGTGGAAAGGGGGAGCGTGCTGTCACATTGTGAAGATTGCAACCATGTTAGAAAACAATACGTGTATAAATTTTTGAATGAGAAATTGACTTGAGCTGTAAACTTTCACCGAAAGTACAATAAATAAATAAATGCAATAGGAAAATAAATAAAGACGGCAGAATCCAGGGTGGATTACGGCAATAGACTCTTACCAGTCTTCCTACCTGTCTTTGCCACTCTCCAACCCATTGTTCACACTGCTCAAAAAATGATCTTTTCAAAATAAATCTGATCATCTCTCTCCACCCTCAAACCTCAATCTACCTGATAAATTGAATCAAAGCACAGCTCAAGAAGTCTTAATTATCACCTCCCTTGCCCTAATATTTAATATGCCCTCCTCTATGATCTCCCCATACTTTACAAACCTCTGTAATTGCAATTCTCATATGTGTTTTACTTTGCAAGATTATCTCCCCACTAGACTCTAAGATCCTCGACAGCTAAAACCACGTTTTACTCATCTTTGAGTAAATATTTCAATAATCTTCTTCACAAATTCAATTTATCAGGAAGTTTGGCTTACTTCATAACAGGTCTGGGTAGTTCTTCACTGTTTTTACCTTGTATTGTGGCTAATGAAAAGCTCACAGTACAAGCAGAAGTATCAGCTCTGGCATTTCTTGTTTACTTTTTCTGGTATTATCATCTTTAACCATGGGTTGTTCTTATTTGTTTGTTGCAGGAAACTCTTTAGTCTACTTCTCCGTTTTATATGAAGGTTTACTTAGGTAAAATTAGATAAATCATATAATTTGTAAATCCACTTAACCAGTCACACTGTATTATATATAACTACACACTGAAGCAAATAATCAAGTGAAGGTACTAATTTCAACCCTTCCAAGTTGTAGAATTCCCATTCTTCCCTCAGGATACCTCACCCACTGTCTGTGACATGTTCCTATGTGATAAACGCAAAGTAAGGACACCAATGTCAATCCAGAATTATAACAAAATTAATAAAACCAAATATATTTTATATGAAAAATAAATACAAACCATATTTATGATATTTCTGCACCCCAGTGGATCATCCTGTACACTGTATGAAGTATATGTACCCCACTTTAAAGGTCACTGGTCTGGATATGACGTGTACAGGCACTACCAAAAAAAAAAAAACTAAAAATACAGAGCACATTACCTAAGATGTCATGTTTATAAAGGGTTTTCTTTTTTCTTTTTTTTAAGTTAAAAACACTTTTGAGAGGACTTTGAATATTCACCACTTGAGCTTGAGAAGATTGCTCTCCTAATAGTATTGAGATAAGAAGTTAGTATAGGGGACAGAAAAGGTAAACAGAATTTGGGGATTCAGAACAGCTACAGAGAGACCAAGCCTCCAAAGTAGATTTCAGGTTAATAGATACAGGCTGGAGATGCATTTAAGAGCACCCTGATTTGTCTTTGGCAATTTCATCACACTTATAACTACTTATTCCACTGCTGTTGTACCTGACTGGATATAAGCTCCCACAAAAGCATGTAGCTGTTTCCCTTCTTGCCTGCCGTATCCTTAGCCACAAACACAATGCCATGTGGCACATATTAGGTGCTCAAAAAAATTAAATGAAGGAATGAAGTGGTATAATTGAAGTTGTGGTTAATTAATTAATCAAAGAAAAGAAAACAAAAAAAAGTACTAAACATTCAGCTTTGAGGAACACCTACAGTAAAGCCATCAAAAGAAGTGCCAACAGAGTAGAATGAGAAAATCCACAAGGGGGATGAGGGGACAGGAAAGCATAGTGTATAGTTGGAAGAGTGTGGGTAGAGCCATCATTGAAGTCTGAGAAAAAGCCATTTGCTTTATCAAGAAGATAACTGGCAACCTCAAGAATGCTGTTTAGGCACAGTTATAAAGCTAGAAGCCAACTGCATGGGATTAGGCAGAAAATGGACGGGAAGGAAACAGAGGCAGTGCACTAGTCTTATCGACTTGGCAGTGAAACAAGAAAAACAAGATTACAGTTTAGAGGGTGTAAAAGGAAAATTTTTTTTTCCCCCAAGTCTGGGAAGATCTACAGGTTTGAGGGAGAGGATCCAGGGTTCTTTCTGCTAATGGTGGACATGGTGGTGTGGCCCTTTTGTAAAGATGGGCATAGGCTGCAGCAAATACACTTACTTGAAAGACAGAGATCCAGAAAGAGAGAGGGTAAATGCTTTTCCACAGAAAGATCTGAAATGGAAAATAAGATTCCTGACTACCTATATATTTCCTTTTCCATATTTCTAGAAAAATAAGTTTTGATAAAAGTATTTTATTGCTGGGAGGTTCCATTCTATGAGTTACCTTAGAAAGAGGTGGTTGCTTCTGTCACCACCACAAAAAATAAAATGAACTCAAATATTTATCTGTGTGCCCTTACAATGCTTCTACTGAATTAATTTTTCAACTTTCAACAACAGTCACTGCTTCTGTGACTGTTATTTCAGTAAAACATTGATGACTAAACGTGAGCTCATTTCATTGCCTGTTGGGCCCACATTTTCCACACCCTATTGTACATAACCACTGGTGATGTAGTGGTTAAGTGCTATGGCTGCTAACCAAAACGTCAGCAGTCTGAATCCACCAGGTGCTCCTTGGAAACTCTATGGAGCAGTTCTACTCTGCCCTATAGGGTGACTATGAGTTGGAACCAACTCAAGGGCAATGGGTTTGGTTTTGGTTATTGTATATAACCACATAAAAAAAACATACAGCATCTTCTTATTCTTGAAATACAAACGTTTCTCTACAAATGTCTCTCTCTCCTTCCATGGTTACACTTGTTCTTACTTAGTTCAAGCATAAACTGTATTGTGAAGATTGCTTAATTAAGAGGTTATTCAGAATTAAAAAATAGATTTCTCAACAGCTTCACATCATATTCTTATGTTATTATAACTCCCCCTCGCTGATTTGTTGGCTTTATGCTATCTTACCATTTTATACCTCTTCGTGTCCTCCACCCTGCACTTTGTGTCCCGGTACCGTGCTTTGTCACAGTACACACCTAGTATTGAGCCTGTAATCCAGCGTGTCCATGCTGCTTTAAAGCAGCCACAAGGTCTTTTCGGCAGCAAATAGTTACAGGGCTTCCTGTGGGACTGGAGAAGCCCCCGGAGGTTGTCAAGTAGTCAGACTGAGATCTCCCAGAGGGCAGGGACACTGTCTCTCATTCAGCATGGTTCATCTCCAGCACCTGACTCAGTGCGTGGCACACAGTACGTATTCAATATAGCTAAATGAATGATCAAATGGCTGGGTGGAAACATTAAATTCAACACTATTCTGCAAACATCCGCCGTGCGCTATCCAGGCCTCAAGGGCCAGATGGACGCAGTTGCTACAAGACGACCGGAACCTGTTGATTCTAATTTCGTAAATATTGTAATTGTATACTATAATTTCCATATTTGCTGTTAAAACAAAAAGGAGAATTGGGGTTATCTCTTCTCTTGGTTCTCAGGAGCTGAACTGTAATGGTGCAGCGGCGCTGCGGCTCCACAGCACGCCCCTCTCAGCGAACACGACGCCCCCTCCGACGGAGCTGGGACGAGCTCCCAGCGCGCCCCGCGGCTGGGCCGCTGGGATCCTGAAGGGGTCGCTGTTCCCGCGATAACCTCCATAAAGGCTCCGCCCCGTGGCCGGCGCTCGCTGCCTCCGTTGGAACCCAGCTTGGCAAGGCCAGAACGCCAGTCTGTCCTCCCGCTAGCAAGCCGCAGCCAGCGCCGACGTTAGCGGCTGCCCTCCCGACCCGACAGGCCCAGTGTCCGGGCCGCAGCCGCCGGCGCGCGCAACCCGCTGTGAGGCGCTAGTTCTCTCCCCTCGCCCCACCCTCCTCCTCCCCCTTCGCGGAAACGACAGCTGCGGCGGCGGGGCTGGCGCCACCTCCCTCCACCTACCACGTCTGCCCCCGCCGCTCTCGCTCGGCGCCCCAGCCAGATCGCGGCGCCTCAGCCTCCCAGCTAGGTTAGCCGGCGGCTCCGCCCGGCTACCGCCCAGGATGAACATCATGGATTTTAACGTGAAGAAACTGGCGGCCGACGCGGGCACCTTCCTCAGTCGTGCCGTCCAGGTACCGCGGCAGGGGGAAGGGGTGACGACGCTCGGGGAGGACGGGGAGGGGCCGCCCGAGCGCTCAGCCCAAGGCGGCGGCGTCGTCCGCACTCCGGCCTCGACCCCACCCCGTGGGTTTGCTGCGGCTGGAGGCCTGGGAGACCGGCGCGGCCTGGTACTCCTCCGAGCCTGGTGGCCGTTTTCTGCCATCCTCCTGCCCAACTGCCGTTCCCCGGGAAGCAAAACGAAGTGGGAAGGGGGCCGGAGGTTCCTCTGGACCCTGGAGGACACCTTGAATTCGCGCTTGGGCCGAGGCACTGCACTGCTTCTTTTCTGATCCCGCGACGCCGGTACTCGTGTGACCTCCCTCCCGGGGCTGGCGGAGGCCTTGCTAGTCCGGCGGGGTAACATAGACCATTGTTGCACTGCCCCCGCCCTTTCTTTTCGCCTCTCTCACTCTCCCCACCGAGTCTAAGAAGGGAATTAGTTTCCTTTTCCTGCCCCTCAAACCCAAAAAGCTGCCAACACAGTTCCTTCTAGCCCTCTCTCCTATGAAAGGATTGTCCCTGGGCTTGGCAGCGCGCGCGCAGGGAAATAGAAATCGCCAGTTGGCGGCCAAACTTTGCCAAGACCACAGGAAACTTGGGTTTGGGGGTTCCCACCCATTCTGAGAATGGGAAGCACTGGCAGTACAGCAATGAGAGGTATGGGGAGATTCCTGGTACTGTGTTTATAGTCAACAGCGGTATCTTTTGAAAACGCTTGAAGGAAAAAGTTGACCTCACCATATTCCGCAATCAAGGAAGTGTCAGTACTAAGGAACTTGGACAGTTTTCTACAGTCATCACCCACATTATGCCAACTCAGTTAAAATCTATGAACAGATGTAAATTTACCCCAGCATGGGTTGTAAACAAATCTGGTGTTTAAATTAATAACACAGTCACAGTAGCAACAGCATTGTCTTACGTAAAGAGAAAACAGAAATAATTGTTTAATATGCATACCACATTGGTACCGAAATAGAAATCGTTTTACTACATTCCTGTCTCCTTTACGCCAATTTTAGTTGGCGCAGTTGATCCTACATTGCCCTATTCTTGGCAAAAAAATGATAGAGCTAGAGCAAGGTAGTAATAGCAGCCTGTACTGTGGAGAGGAAAAAAAAAACCTAGATCGAACACTTTGCTAGCCATTTGACCTATTATCTCCAGTCCTTTTCTTAGCTTTGCTAAGAAAATGATGTTACTAACCTCCTTTTATAAATGAGGAAACAGCCTAAGACAGGTTAAGTAACTTGCTTAACTTGCACGGTTGGTAAATATTCAGGTGCTGTCTGGCTTGGCTGCTGCAAGCTGCTGCTCTTCCTGGATAAGCATTGCGGGTTTAAGAACATATAGAATAATAGAATATTACAGACTAGAGGACCTTAGAGGTCACGTAGTAAAATCTGAGCATTTAAATATCAACAAAAACTACCACATAAGCTGTGGGAAATTCCTTTTAAGTCTTGATTTCCAACTTCCAAACTCAGTTTGGTGAGTAATAGGCTAGCTGCTTTAACCCTTCTCCCCCACGAAAATAGAAGGTGTATTGTAAAGGAGTCCCTGGGTGGTGCAAACAGTTAACTTGCTCAGCTGTGGTAACCAAAAGGTTGGAGGTTTGTGCTTACCCAGAAACACCTGAGAAGAAAAGACCTGGCATCTCCTTCCAAACAATCAGCCATTGAAAATCCTATGGAGCACAATTCTACTGTGACACATAGGGTCACCGTGAGCCTGAATCCATTCGACAGCAGCAGATTTGGCTTTTTTTAATAGTTCAAAGGATAAGCATTTAGTTTCCATATTTTTTTATGGTAAGGTGCAAGAAGAATGAATGATTGAGGCATATGAATTTTGATTTGTGAGATACTTCTATTAAAAAAACAAAACCAAACACATTACCGTCGAGTTGATTCCGACTCTTGGGGATTCTATAGGACATAGTAGAACTGCCCCCATAGGGCTTCCAAGGAGCACTGGTGGATTTGAACTGCTGACCTTTTGGTTAGCAGCCAAGCCCTTAACCACTCAGCCAGCAGGGTTCCACTTCTATTAGGCTTCATTAACATTTACTGCAATGGACTAAAGCCTCTGGTATTTTTTGTTTTAGTGCTAATTCCCTAATATTCTGGCTGCTGGAGGCAGATTTGAATTTATTATGTCTCTATATAATGTCACTTTTAAGTACACTTAGATATGTTTTCAGTACATAACTCACAGTGCTTACATTGGAAAGACATTTACTAGAACTTAGTCTGATTTAAATTGCTGATGGGTTCAATTTAAAAGAATAAATCTAGAGGAGCTCTCAAAAGTAGTGTGTTGTTAGGTGCCATCCAGTCGATTTTGACTCACAGCGATCCCATGTAACAGGTAGAGCTGCCCCATAGGGTTTTCTAGGTTGTAATCGTTAAGAGCAGATTGCCAAGTCTTTCTCCCTTAGAGCTGCTGGATGGGTTCAAACTGCCAACCTTTTGGATAGTGGTGGAACATGACATTGTACTACAGTGTTCCTTCAAAAGGTGTATATGTTCCCATCCAAAAAAAGTAACGACAACAAAACAAAACCAGTTGCCAGTCAAGTCAGTTCTAACTCTTGTAACCTCGTGTATTGCAGACTAGAACTACTCTCCATAGGGTTTTCAAAGATATGACCTTTTGGAAGCAGATCGCCAGGCCTTTTTTCCAAGGCTTACCTCTCAGTGGGTTGGAACCACCAACCTTTTGGTTAGTAGTCAAGTGTTTAATCGTTTGTACCACTCAGGGACTCCTATATATGTCTCTAGTGAATTTTAATTATTCCTTGTTTCAAATTCTCTAGGAAAAAGTTTTATCCTAATCTGTTAGCAATCAAAACAACTTTTTTTCATTTTAAATACTGATGTGCCTACTCCATGTGTCTGTGGACACTGGTGATATAGCAATTGAATAAAATCAGCAAAGTCTTTGCCCTCATAGAGGGCATTTTAGTGAGAGAGAATAAAAGCTAGTAAATATATGAGGAAGCGATGAAGAAAAAGGTCAGAGGGACAGGTCAAGGCAAGGGTAGTCACTGTTGCCATGTTATATGGATGGTCAGGGCAGGCCTCTCTGATAAGGGGAAACTCGAAGAGACCTCAAGGAAGTGACAGAGCCACAGTTTTTTTGGAAGAAAAGCATTTAAAGGAGATAGAACAAGTGCAAAGGCCCCAAGGTTTCAGGTGGACTTAGATAAGAGTGAGAGCAGGAATGTTCAGAATCTACCCAGTATTTGCTGTCAGATTGACTGTGGGGTTATGAGAGAAAGGTGAGTCAAGGATGACTCCAAGGTTTTTGGCTAGAGCAACTGAAAGAATAGAGATACCATTTACTAAGATGAGAAAAATTTCTAGAGATACGGGATCCTTTAATGTGTCTTTTTATATTAAGTCTTTATCTGTTAGAGATAGTGAAATATTTATAAATAAAGTTAAATGGTGTCTGGGATTTGCGTTAAGATATTTCAGAAGAAAAAAGGGGTAATTGAAACAAGATTAGCAGAATGTTGATGGTTGAAGCTGAGTGATGGGTTTGTCATATAATTATGTTATTTGTGTATGTATATTATATACATAATGTTATATCTTATATTTAATCTCTTCTTTTGTATATGTTTGACATTTTTCATAGTACTTTAAAAAATATGTAAGGAAAAAATAACATGAAATTTGGAATGCTGTGTGTTTAACAGAACAGTGCTTTCCCATTTCAGTATTTAGTCAGTAACTTAGTTCTTATTCTAAATTGAGTTGACATTAGTATAGTGCCAAGGTACCAAGTTTCATGCTAATAGAGCTTAAAGCTAAGAATAGCTTAAGAGCTATGCAAGTTACTCTTTATAAGCAATAAGAACAGTAGGAAGGGAATTAAACTTTTGTATTTCTGAATAATAATTTCCATTCAAATCAAATTGTGCCTTAAGGAATAGGCCATTTTCTGCTTGGCCAACTGCCATACTTATTTTCATTTCACTTAAAATTGTTTAAATTAAACATGTTCCTTGTTTTAAAAAAGAAAAAGGATATAAATGGGTCTCCACTCATCACCACTCCACTCTCATTCTTCTAGAATTTTTAATATGCCTTAGTTTAGTTTAAAAAGAACGTTAAAGTAGAATAATATATAAATGAACACACGTGTTTATTCCTTACTGGTTAATTTGGGTGTTTGTTATTTTTAACTTCCTCAAAAAAAAAAAGAATATAAAAGCCTCAGATGGTTTGTCCTCACTAAATTGTTATTTTATTACCGTATTTTTATGCAAATACTGTACGCCTTTTGCGTTTGCTGGCCAAGCCAGGCACCCTCACAAGCACTGCCATGCCAGTGCTCTTCCACATGTTGGTGTAAAAAAAATTAGCATAGCGCACTTATAAAAATACGGGGGGTGGGGATTGTGGGCATGGCTGGCAAACAAATGCAGAAAGGTGCATGCTATTTGCATAAAAATACGGCAGTGTTTTGAAGGTCCTTTATTAGTAAGGACCAGTCTTTCCAGTTTTTCAGTCTAAGCTCCTTCATTGAGCTTTAAATACTCCCTTGCTACCTGGTCGTTTCTATCAGTCATATATAAACACTGATTTCCAATCAAATTATTTTATATTTTCACAATATCTTGTACTTCTCTGACTCCAGACTTTTGTTCATACAATAAAACTCATCTTGAATGCCCTCCAACTCCCATCTTATTTCCTTCCCACAAGATAAAGCTTCAAGCCAATCTCTACTGTGATGGCTTCTCGAACCACAGGAATTTTATGTCATCTCACCTCCCTTTAAAATCAGTTTTCAATTTTTTGGGATTTTGTGGCATTTTTTGTCTAATGAACTGTTACGTAAGGTCTCTTGAGAGCTAAAATTCTATGACTCTCTGGCTTTCTCATCTTCAGTAAGATTGTATGCCCTAAGAACTCAACTGTTTTCTTATTCCCCTCCACAACATCTAGCTTGGTTCTTG